TTAATATCAAGTAGATCTATAACCATATAAAAATCTTGAAAATTGATGGTTTAGATAATGTGTTGCAAGATGCATTATTTTTTTACTCAATTTTTTTTTTTTTATCATATTCATACATCTCAATGTTGAGATGATCAATTAGAGGGCTTGTCAACATTAAAACGACCTTTTTCCAATGGATGTTTTGAGGTCTATCTTTAATTCTACATTTTAAGGTAGCAACTTTATACGATCTTTTTCCATGAAAATATCCTCTAATAAGATGGAGAAGGAACATATTTGGATGGCAGAGGGTGTCGTTTGCATAACGTTGCAACATTAAACAATCGAATTAAGGTGCATCCTTAAAGTTTGTCATGAGATGCCATTTTGGTGTCAAAATTTATTCGAATAATATGAGAACCTTTATTTATCTCTCATCATCATCAACATTATCCAAGCCATATCCTAATTATTTAGGATCGGCTATATGAATCATGTCATTTCATTCTTCTCTATCAAGTGTCATACCCTCAATAAGATAAGAAGTCACCATATATTTTTTCACTACTTTTGTCTATGTCCTTTTGGGCTTTTCTCTTGACCTTTAGAGCCTTCCACTTGAACCAAATCGCACCTCCCAACTCTTGTTTTATGAGATCTACAATGCATATAGCCAACCTATCTAAGTTTACTTTCCCTCATCTTATTGCTTATTGAAGCCACACCTAAGTTTCCTAATATGTATTCATTTCGAATTCTATCCATTCTTGTCTTATCACTCATACATCTCAACATCCTCAACTCAGTTACGGTCATCCTATAGATATCTTTTTTCTTGACTGCCCAATATTATGTCCCATAAAGTATGATTGGTCCTACAACCATCTTATGTAACTTCCCTTTTAGTCTCAATGGTATGCGATGACTACACATCTTCACTTTACTCACCAAGCTCTAATTTTATATGTGACATCTTTTTTTATCCTCTTTATTCTCCTAGATTATCGACCATTGATATAAAAAACAAACCCTTTTAGGTATTTCTTGACCATCAATCTTAACTATTTCCTTATTTCTACTCTTATTATTATTAAACTTACATTCCGCATATTATATCCTAGTCCGATTAATTTTAAAACCTTTAGATTCCATAGCATCCCTATAACGTTTTAATTTTGTGTTGACGTCGCCTCTAGCCTCGTCGATTAAAACTATAGCATCAACGAACAACATACATCATGATGTCTCATCTTGTAGGTGCCTAGTTAACCTGTCTATAACCAAAGCAAATATATGGGTTCAAAGCTAACCCTTGATGTAAGCCCATTGTCACTGAGAACTCACTTCTCTCCACTAGTCGTTCACACATTAGTTAGTGCTCCCTTATACATAACTCTCACTATGTCAATAAAGCCTCTAGTGACTTCTTTCTTTTCTAACACTCACCAAAATAAATCTCTAGGTATTGTATCCTATGCTTTTTCCAAATTAATAAATACCATGTGGAGGTCTTTTACCTTCGCCCTATACTTCTCAATCAGTTATGTAACTAGGAAAATGGCTTCGTAGTAGACCTCCCTGTCATAAAATTGAACTGATTTACTACTCCATTCATTATACACTTTAATCATTGCTCAACCACCCTCTCCTATATCTTCATAGTGTAACTCATAAATTTAATCTCTTGATAGTTTGTATAATTCTATATGTCTCATTTATTCTTATAAATAAGTGCCATGACACTTTTTCTCCTTTTTGTCAAGCATTTTCTTTATTCTCACCATCTTATTGAACAACTTTGTGAGGCAGTGTATGTTAGTCTCCTCCATGCACTTCCAGAACTCTACTAGGATCATATCTGGTCCTAAAGCCTTTCACATCTTTATATTTCAGGAAGCTTCTTTCACTTTAGATATCCTAATTATGTAAATGTAACTATCTGCACTATTTTATGTCAAAGGTTCCTCCTAACATTATGTTCTCATAGTGTTCGTTATTTAATAGTTTTTGAAAATAAAATTCTCCACCTTTTGTTGACCTCGTCATCTTTTACCATCCTCCAATACTCGTTCTTATTGCATATAATATGAATTAGATCCATACAATTCCTCTCGCTCATTTTTGCTAGTTTGAAGACATCATTTTCGCATCATCTTGTCCCTAGTTTATTGTATATATTATCATATGATTTAAGTTTAACCTTACTTGCCATTTTCTTAGTCTTCTAAGTTTTGATCATTTCTATTACAACCAAACTTTATAACATGATCGTTTTTGCTAATAGTCTTTTGAACCTTTTTACTTCACCTCCAAGTTTCTTTGTCGGGATTTCTGTTCCCTCTAATTTCTCCTAAAACTTCTTTTGGCGCTTTCTTAATACAGTCGATTATCTCATTCCACATAATGTTAACTTTGTATTCAAAATTTCATTTTTCTTCATTTATCAGTTTATCCCTAAATAAGTATATGTTCTCCTTTTCTAAATTCCAACACCTAGTTCTGGGTTATTTTTATCTCTATTTATAAAATTTTAAACTAAAAAATAGTTCAAATCAAGCAAATCTATGATCACATGAAAATCTTCAAAAGGAACAGTCCAGCTAATGTGATGCAAGATGTACTATTTAGAACTTAAAATATCTTGTTTTCTCCATATCTATACATCTCGATGTCCTGATCAATTCGATGTCTTATCAACATGAAAATAACATTTTCGAAAGATTTTAGAGATTTACCTTAATTCTACTTTTTAAGGTGTTAACCTTATAAAAACTTTTCCCTTACATGAATCCCAAATTCTTGAACCAAAGTCATCAAACCGCCAATTTGTAATTAAAAAAAGCAAGAAGTAGGAGATGCAGTGGATAAAATGGGTTCGCATGACAAAGGTTACTGCATCAATCCATTCTTTGTCATGAACATATACAACAACCTGTGAAACAAAGGAAAAGGAGAAAGAAACTTTCGTGGGCAACCCTGGGTTACGATTCACGACAAATATCTTGGTCAATTGAAAAGACAAGAAGAGATGACAGACATCAAGATAGAGCAAAAGTACTATAAACTTTTCTATACTTTTTTACTTTTTAGGCCTTGACTTCTCTCTCTTTTTTATTATGGAAAAAATTTATATAAGGTTGCAACCTTAACATGTAGAATTAAAGATGTACTTCAAAAATCCGTCGGAAAAAGTTATTTTAATATTGAAATGCCCTCTACTTGATTATCTCGACATCGAAACGTATGAATATATATGAAAAAAAGACTTCGAGTCCAAAAAACAGTGCATTTTATAACACATTATCTAGACCTTTTATTTTCAAGATTTTCATTTGTTTATAGATCGACTTAATTTTTACCATTTTTGAAATTTAAAATTTTATAATTAAATATCAAAATAGATTTTGAGATAACCGTAAGAATTGCTTACACCATAATTATATGTAATGATAAAATTTGGAGATGTGCCTTAATTGGATTGTTTAAGGTTGCAACCTTATAGAAACCACACCCTTTCTTTTTTTTTTGTTTGCTAGAACTCTCTCTCTCTCTCTTGATTGTTAGACCTCTCTCTCTCAATGAGTGTGTGAGTTGCATGTGTGTATATTTGTGTGTTGCAGTCAGGGTTTGTGTGTGCTAGAGTTAGGAAGTTAACGTGTGCTAGAGTTATGAATAACTTCTTTTTCTTCCAAAAATACTACTTTTATACCCTGTGGTTTGTCTGGAAATTAAGTGCTTAAAAGACAAGTTCGGAACTTTGGATACATATTGTTTGTTTGGGGAGTCAGTGGGAAAAGAGCCATACCCTTGTTAGGAATTGAGCATAATACGTAGTGTTTGAATTCGTCAAGTGCTAATAAGTTAAGCCCTGACTCTTTTCCTTGAATGCGTATTGTTGTCATTGGTTTTGTGCATATTCCAAAAGAAACACTAAAATTTAGGTAAAATTACACGTGGATACAAAACCTAATGGAAAAATACAGCAAGGTCCAAATTTTTCTAAATATTACAAACAATGTTAGTTTTTTTAACTTTTTTTTTTTTTTCAATTTGCCCCTCACTCTGATGTTACCAACATTGAACCAGTTTTATTTTATATTATTTTTTTGGTTTTTTCAAATGTAGGGTTGCGATCTAAGATTTAGGTCACTTTTGGACCGGTCTGAGGTCCGGGACCTCCAGTATTGTAGCTACAGACCTCATACTGCTAGTATTGCGGCTTTAGGCTACAGAATGAACTGTCCAAGGTTAGGGAATTTTGACCGCTAGTCTATATCTTTAGGCCACATATAGAGTGATCCGAAGTTAAGGACATCAGACTGCTACTTATGTAACATTAGACCACATAGAGAGCGATCTAAGGTCCTTGACGCCATACCACTATAGAAGTGACATAAATCTTAGATCACAAACTTAAGTTGGAAAAAACAAAAATAGAGTGGAAAACTAGAAAAAATAAAAAAAACACGAAAGGACCAACCTTGCGAGTAATATTTGAAAAAATATTAACCTTTTTAAAATATTTTCTCATTAGTTTTTGTGTCCGTACATAATGTTGCCTACATTTTACAGGTCAGTCAACCCATATTCTTAAGTATCACCACCTAAAAATCACAAAAGGGATAAGTAATACATCCCAAACATTAAGGATTTAATAATGACATTGTCTGAGGGTGAGCTCTCATTTGGAAAGAAAAACAGAAACAATTAACTGCCCCATTCTCAAACTCAACATATATTCGTAGTAAATTAAGAGCATTAAATATTCATTCAACATTAATTATACTATTAATACGTTAGCCGAGCCAAACAGTAAATAGCGACGGCGAGGAAGCCGAGCGGGTAAGAAGCCGAGACATTAATTAGTGCCACCTGCATTAAATTCATCAACTCCTAAAGGAGCCTACCACGCATCTACCCTAACTTTGAGCCCCTTCTCTCTCTCTCTCTCTCTCTCTTCTTTCTTTAAAAGCCCTCCTGCACTCACCTCTGAACCTCATTAATACATTACACACACCACCCATTGTCTTGCTCACTCCCCTTTCACCCTCAAAACATTTAAACTGCAAATCCCCCCTTCTCTCTCTCTAAATCTTCATTTCTCAGTCCCAAACCTCTGTTTCTCTGATCCGTCTACCCCAACAATGAAGTTCAGGTCAATCTTCAACCCAAGAGAAACCTTCCTAACATGCAAGCAACCCAAGACACACTCTTTCAGAGCAGGTCCAGACATTTACAGGAGCATAAACTCAGTCTACATTGCCTCTGATGCCAAGACCCAAGCCGTCCTCGGCCCTAAACTCCACGACCCAACAGCCCACGACGCGTCTTTCTCCGAACCCAATTCTTGGTTCTTCACAGACGACAAGAACTCCTCTCATTCTAGCGGCTTCTCGACCGATATATCCTTTCTCTCTCTAGAATCTAACGCGTTGGAAGACGCAGTTGTTGATGGTTTAGTTAGGGGCCTATGCTCCAAGAGGTTCTTCTTTGAGCCTGAAGACACAAGTTCCATTCTTGGTGAGGCCAAAGACAGAGAAAATGAGGAGAGAGAAAGCAAGGAAAATGGTGGGGATGATTTCATAAAAGAAAGTTTCATGCTGGCTATGGAGTCTGATGATCCTTACATGGATTTTAGGGTTTCCATGGAGGAGATGGTGCAGGCGCATGGGATAAAAGAATGGTCCTGTTTGGAGGAGCTTTTACAGTGCTATCTTAGGGTTAATGGTAAGAAAGCCCACAAATATATTGTAGGAGCATTTGTTGATCTTCTCATTGGGCTTTTATCAGAGGGAAGCCCATAACTAGAGCAATGTTAGACAGAGAAAATTAGTATATGATTCTCAATGTAAATTATCATTTGAGAAATGCAATACATATAGCCTTCACAGTTTTGATATGGCCATTTCATTCCCTTTTTTTTTATATATATATATCTATATATAAATTTCAGTCTTGGTTTTCTATTAAATGTCCTGATTTCGGGTGTAATACATTAAAAAATTTTGTATTTATTTATTGGTAAGTCTATTTTTGTGTTTTTGAAATTCTGATGGAGAAGAAATATATATTTATCGATAACTCTGTGTTGATCGATAAAATGAAGGAGACACCCCAGCTGTTCGTTGTTGCCATCAACGGTTGAGGAGATGCTAATAAAGTGTATGGTAGTTCGTTGTTGCCATCAACGGTTGGGGAGATGCTAACAAATTGTATTGTAGACTGATAATATAGTATAACTTTATCATCAAAAGTATATAATAAGTCTATTTATCTTTCGTACAAGGGAGTCACAAATAATACAAGGGAGTCACAAATAATTTGACGGATGTGAAATTAGACAACTGCATTTATTCCATTGACCAAATTCACATATGATATTGTAAACAATTATGATGACCTCCTTATATAAAAAATAAGTGATTTCATTATATACAATTCCAAATTTTCATGTTTATTTTTCTAATTTTGTTCTATAGTACGATGCACCTTCACTTAACCAACCCAAAAAGTGGAAGTTTAGAGAAAAAGAGATACAAAAGATGGAAGTTAGAGAAAAAGAGATACAAATAATAAAGCAATTTATCTTTAACTCAAAGAGGTCACAAAATTAAACTTTATCAATAGAATAAATGTATTCACCCAATTTCACATCACGATCAATATTAATTGTGATCAACCAGCAAGTAAATAATCGCGTACACTTCGCCAAATTTTTGGTGCTGATATTATGTTTGTATATAATTTTGGAAGTGACGTGGGAAGAATTTATCTGAGATTGTAAATTACAAAGCAATATGGATAACGAACAAAAAGATGGAAAGTTTACCGAACAAATGTGGAAAGCTTTTATGATCCTGCCTGAGCACATGAAATTATCCGATTTTTGGTGACAAGTGTTCCTGCGAGTATACAGACTGCAGAGCTTATTATGTGAGGAAGTTGATTAACGGTCCAGATTAAAGTCAACAAGGACGACCATGGCCCTCGACAGAAATGCCAAAATATTTTATGATCCCGCGAGAGCATACCTATTTTTCCGACATGACTGGTCGTACTAGTTTGCAGCACGTGCATGCGGATGCCTAGCTGTCGAGCTTGAAATGTGGGGACCATCGGTAGATCAACGGTCCGGATTTAACTAACAGAAGTTAACAAAGTATATCATAACCGTCGATGAAATAATACCGTCTGCTTTGGCCACTTTATGAGATGATGTACTCTCGGAAAGATGTTCTTTCCTTACCTAGCTTTTGAATGAATGGTCTAGATTTCTCATCAATGTCTTAGCAAATCGTAGCCCTCTATTTCAAATGGTCGATTGTGAGTAACTTACAACTTACACGTGTTTAACACGTTTATAATATAACCTAGATAAAATAAAAAAAAACCTACCACTCTAATGGTTTTACAAGTATAAAAAATAAATAAAATAATTTACGCAGACAATAGAAACAAAAAAAAATTGATTGAATAAAGCCATTTGAACCTTAGTATATTAGTTTTGGCAGGAAAAAAATTATTTTTTGATAGAAAAACAGTTCGTAATGAGACGGTTCTAGGCTAGACTCTTGCACATGGAAAACAGTTGTACTGAATTATTCGAAACATCAAACACCAAAAAAAAAAAAAAAAAAAATTCGAATTTTAAATAGAGAACTTATTCAAACGTTCGTATAAAACTAGCCAAAAAATATTATACTCTCATGAGAGTATATGTCCATTTACTCCCTTGAATACAATCCTACATAGAATTAATTTTAGAGAAATGATCTTGTGAGATCCTCCCACATCCATGTATGTAAGATCCCAATGATCACCATTAAATTTGATACATATCTCTAAAAAAGTTAGTCCCACACCCATATGATAACTTTTCTTTTAATCTGTGTCAAATTTAATGGTGATCCTTTAAAATTCGACACACATGGATGTGGGAGGGTCTCATAGGATCATTACTCTTAATTTTCACATCCCAAATTTTGTAGATGTAACATCTTCAACCTATAGATTAAAAAAAAAAAAAAAAAATCTAATTAGATCCTCTATGCACTTGAAAAGATAATGTCCCGCGATGAATATAGGCTATCCAACTTTTAGATGGTGAGATATGAGTATTAGAAGCTCAAATTCGAATTTTTCTTTGGAGCATCTAGTGATTCTTAGGTGTTTTCAAGAATTTTAGATTGGAAAAATCCCCCAAATTGACTAAAGAAGTAGAAATAAACTATGCTTCCAAGGTATAAATTATGCTTCGGAGGGAGTACAGTATACATGTTGTAAACTTAATATTTTTACGCAATAAATTATGTTAAAATACTGTTAAAAAAAAAAATGCTAAAATATGAGTTTGGATATTAGGAAATAAAAAATAAAAAAATAAAAAAATAAAAAATGAATATTTTAGGTCAACTGTTGCTGGGTTGGAGAGTGGCTCGGGATTCCCGGCTTGGAACTTCGTGGGAAATTCTTGTCTCTATGTCGAAGCTTCTAAACTCTGCCCTTGTGTTTTCCCAAAATTACAATGAAAATTAGCAAAATTGTAAGTGTCAAATAAAGATATTAATTAAAAAATATTTTCTTTGTCTTATGAGGTCAAGCACGTGCATCTTACACGTGCTCTCTTCCAGTTTTTTCCAGCATCAACCCTTGGACGGTTGGATTTTGAGATTGGAGTTTGGATCTGGTCCATCCAAACCGTTGGTTTTGAAACCCGTGAGTTATTGAAGTTTGAATCATGTGAAGCTTCTGTTCCTTATTTTATCCTCCTGTTTTTTCGTTTAGAGAGAAAAAATTACTTACTTTAATGTGCTGAAATTGTTTAATGTTATGTCTCTATGGTTTCCTTATGTTCTTTTCATGGAAAGATAAATCTTTAATTTTTATAACAAATCTGCAATGGCTTCAAAAAATATTTATTTTTAGATTTCGATGTAAAAAATGGGCGTCAAAATAAATGAAAGAATCCATGTCTTCTTAATGTTTAATTGTTAATCTAGGGTTTTGGAGAGCCTCGTAGAGAGGAGAGAGACCACTTTTGAAATGAAAATGTTTTTTTATCGAACTAGGAAAGTTTTAGATTTTTATAATGTTTCTAATTTCATGTGAGGGGCAACAAGTAGAACAATTAGGGGAGAATTGACCCGATCCGAATCTGAAACTCGAATTTCGGACAAAATTTAGATCTGAAATCCGGATCCAGAACTAAAAGTTAGATCCGAATTGAAATTTGGATCGGATTCGGGTTCAGGTGGATCCGATCCAGATCCAACCCTAAGTTTTTTTAAATAGTAAAATTTTTATTTTAAATATATAAATTTTTTAAATAGTATATATAATCCAGATCTGGATCCGATGTTTAGTAATTAGATCCTACTATATAGAATCCGGTTTGAACCCAGATCTGATGTATACTATTCAAATCCGAATCTGGTCGGATCTGGCCTGTATCCAACCCGTTCTCACCCCTAAGAACATGGTTGTACACTCTGTGCACTCTTGGTGTGAATTGTTAATGCAAGTACTTCATGTGGCTGCTTGGGTTTCATACATACTTGGTGTGAACTGTGATATACTCGTTTACATCAACGGTCAGATGTTAATCATGAGAGACTAACGTCTCAAACATTTAAAATTTGAATGCGGTTAGCATGTGGGTTTGGCAATAAATATATTTTAAATATATTTAATTCTGGGTTTTAGAGAGTATATGATCTTTAACATGGAGATCATGAATATGAAAAAATAAATAAAATTTGAAAACAAGAAATAATAACAAAACATTTGGCCTATTAGTTACAATTGTTTTTTAGATGGACCACCTATTTGCACCTATCTTTAAGTTGGATGTTTTATACCTCTGGACCGCATATTATACAAATGCGGTCTAGCCCACATGAAACAATTGTTCTAGCCCACATGAAACAATTGTTCTAAAAATTTAGATGTTAACTGATGTGGACCAGTCGATTTTCTCCTTACATTTGACCAATTCTTGAGTGTGATCCCAAATAGTTGGGAAGATGCTCAAATGAAGATTTGACCATTGTTGAGACTCGGTCAGAAGTCACTAAGGGCGTATTTGATAATGGTAAATGGGTGGGAAAGTCCCCAACTTTCTCGTATATTGTAGCTTTCTTTAGTTTGGGAACAATAAATTGGGAAAACGTCGGAATCCACATTTTCCCCAAAGCACTATTCTCTTGGGTAAAGCTGCCGACCTACAAACCCAAGGTCTACAACTTTCACGAAAAGTTAGCAGGCATAAACCTTGACAAAAATTGTGGCTCTCTTCTACCGCTCAAGTTGAAGCCGCTCGATCTTTCTTCCTCCCTGCTCGCACCAGCAAAAGCCTCACCTCCCTCAACCAGGTACTCTTTGTCTCCCTGTTCGCACCAGCAAAAGCCTCACCACCCTTAACCAGGTACTCTCTATCGTCTACTCTCTCTCTCTCTCGCTCTCATCTTCTATCTCAGTTCCTCTCCCCCTCTAGGCTCTCTTTCTCTGCATAACTTGAGGTGAGAGAAATAGTCACCAGGCCATTTCAAGGAGTCACCATTTCCCCACTCTTCTCTCTTCTCTCTCTCTCTCTCTCTCTCTCTCTTTATCTCTCAAGTGCGAACTCCCTGCAAATTCAGAGCTAAAAACCCAGTAAATATGGCGGATCTCATCCTTCAATCACTTCCAAAGCCTCAGAGCAGAGCTCAAAGCTCATATATCTACCCTAAAATCTGAGCTTGTTGAGCTAATTAACAGGGATTATGCAGATTTTGTGAGCCTTAGCACTTGTCGATGTGGATGGTGCAGTTGTGAGGATAACAACTCTATTGAATGAGCTTAGGGCTCGAATTGCTCAATTTAGGGTGAACATTGAGGCTTCTTTCACTGCTCTAAGGGATG